ATCAAAATTTTCCTCTTTCTTTTTGTGTTTATTCAGTCCTATTCTCTCTATATACTTACATAAAACCAGCCATCCACTTCGTACTCGATTTCAACATCTTCACCCGCTGTTAAATTTAACTGCACGGACAGAACCATATTAATCACCTCCATGTTTCAACTGAAACTGCCAGACAAGTCTGACTGAGACAAGACAGCAATAGTTCACACAGAGCAAAAGGCAAGACACTCTATCCAGTAAACTTCTTATCATTTAAAATGCAAATACCTGCTCAACTTTGGAGTGAGACACCTTTGGATCATAAAAATAAAATAAAAACTTTTAAGTCCAGATTGAATTGCTAGGAGTTAGACTTACTTCATCATCTCCACCAGCCGTGAAGTCATAAAGTGCCGTTCCATGTTGAGGATTTCCAGAAGAAACGCGTTCGTCATCTTGAGATTCAAAACTTTGGGATCCACGCCCAGCTAAAGGATTATCAAATGATTCAAATCTTTGTGCGGCAGGTGACGAGTATGGCGGAGGCTCTTCTCTAATCTGGAAACGAATTAGAAGAATTAAAATTCTGATAGAATCATAAGACTAAAACCTAGCTAGATGAGAGGCAATGAGCACTAACTGGAGATCCTAAACCCTCACTGAATGAGGGACCCCCCGTAGATGGATTGGTATATCTGTTTCCTCCAGACCTCTCCTGTTGCAAATAATTAATTCATCAAACAATTCAATCCTATATAGCAGATGACAGTGTATGCAAGTAAAAATCTATAATCCCCAGTAATATTTGGGGCATCAATCAGGCAATGAGTTAGTACAGGTAAAGAAAATGCTTTGATCTTAGCTCTTTTAAGATCTAACACAGGGTGTTTCTTTCTTTCATATATATATATATATATATATATATTTTGTTCTTGAAAAACTGAAAGCACATTTTTGCACAGATTATTACATTATACAGCTTCAACCAAATTCCATAATCAAAAGTCCATGGACACATTTCTTCCCTCGTATCTAGGGTTCCGTATATGCCTCACATTTAGACCCTAAGTCAAGTCTTCATTAGCTCCAACTACCATTTAATCCTATCTATAGAACCTGTGGTCCATGATACTAAAAATTCTTTTCTCATTTTCCTCATAAAATTTTATATCAACAACATGTGCAGACAATAAAGGGTCCCCCGGCTAGAAGAGCAGGGGCTTAGAGTCTGGTTCTCCAACTAGGGAAGGTGATGGTCAACAGAGGTTGGATTTAATCCAACGGTAGTCTTGAGCCTTAAGCAAACAATAGAACTAATAACTTTTAATAGAACTTGACACATTCCAACAAAAATAGAAAAGACAAAAAGTTAATCGGTACAGACTCATTTTTAACTGTGCAGGCCCTCCCCTTCCCTTTGTCGCTCTCCTACATTTCCCTATCTCCCTTATCCATTTC